AGTGGTGTAGTGACAAGTGGCGCGCTTACCACGCGAGCGGTCCGGAGATCAAATCCTGGGTCGTGAGTCGCCCAGGCCAACCAAGCCTTCCATCTCTCCGGGGTCGGTTAATTGGTACCAGACTTGCCTGGGAGGATGAAAAACACTGACTTGTACATCGGCAGGCCCCCGCAAGACATTGTATAGGCCACATCGCATTCAAATGCCACTGCGAATGTACAAATGGAAGTAGAATGCGTGCCGCATCCCAAAAAGGGATTGATCGACGGCAAATGCTTTATCCTTTATTATCCTTTAGAAGATCAGATCAATACCAGTGCATTCCAAATGTAGCGGAATTTCATGTTATTTTTAGCATAACCCTATCGTATGAAGCGAAAAATCGCCCACCATGAAGACAAAAATTGCCATGAAACGGATATTCATGGAAGAGAAAGAAGGGTAGCAGTTAGGCTAGAGGATTGTCTGATGATGCGATAGGTGGCGCTCTCGCGGTGGAGGGCGTGCTATCAATGGCGTGGTGAGGGTCTGGAAGCCCCAGCTGTCTCAGAGACTCCCATCGCCGGCACGTGAAGAAAATTATAACGGTCATGGGCGCAATGTGGCTCGGGGGGGGGGGCAGTCGAAGCGCGCGGTAGCGAAGTAGAGTAAACTCGAACATTCCAGCTTCCACGCATGTTAAGTGACTGCCCTCACCCCCGACCAGGGTGCATATCGGTCGAGAAAACCCTCGACAAGGGGGTCGTATTTGTCAAGGTGGGTAATGGGCAGTCTTACTCGTGGGGTCAGTAACATCAGTGGCATCGTGGTGCAGATAGGAGGGAGAGGGTGTAGCGCAGCAGAAAACAGGGAAATGAGAAGAAATTATATAAAATATCATTTGGAGGTTCAGTTGCTCCGTCTCTCTACATCAGAAAAGGAAGTATTTGAAGGTATAGAATGAATGCGAATGAATGAAAGGATGAAAGTGCATCTTTGCAAGGAATAGGGTCACATGTGCACACGCGCTGCGGTGGCATTTCCTCTATCTACCGCCCGCTCCCTCCCCCTGAATACCTCGTTGAGAGTGATACTGTTGTTGGGGATGTTGTCGCAAAAACGACAACCGTGAAGGAAAGGCCCTGGGCAAATGAAGCTGTTACTATAGAAGTTACGAAATGTGTTTACTACAATGCAGCTTCTTTCAACTGGTTGCGATCATATACCACCTTCCAATCGATTCTGCAGCTTCGAGTGCATGGCCTATACCCAGACAAAACCGGATGGTGACGATTGCCCCTTCTAGTATTGCTTATGTTGAAAGAATGTATTCTAGACGCATTTCGAGCGTTGCCAACGAATTACACCTGCAAATGTGAAGAAGGGATCGGCTTTTTGAGCTGCCGAGAATCACCCTCGACAGATCCTCGACACAAATATCTCCTTAACTAGAGAATATATTAGGTCAACTCATTCAAACATGTCCAGACAGAGAAATGGTGGAAAAAGTAAAAGAGCTAGAGCATTTTAAGATTTTAAGCTAGCACACCCAGCTACGGTATCCTCTAATTTGGTTCATAGTGCTGCAGGAGGAAACACTTAAACACATAAAAGAATTCATAGTGACCCAAATCGAGGTGGATTTTCCAAATGATTGCTGACATACGTAAAATTTGCAACTCGAATTCTCTGTGTGCTGGCTCAACTTACGCGTGATACAGTGTTCTCGAAGTGCTACGTTGAAGATATGGTGTGAGAGCTCAAAGAAGGGAGAACGGAAGCGAGTTGTGGTTGAGGACGCGTTCCTATTGTCCACCTTCCCCAAGAAGAGCGGGTGCATGAAATGAGGTTTCAAATGGCGCATCACAGATGTTGAACCTTTGCGATGTTTGCCCACGAGACTTGCAGTCTAGCTGCACCTGTTACGCAAATTGTGCCCAAAAATTGGGGATGGTCCACAGAACATGTTTTTGAATATCCCATTTACTCCCAGATGCATGAGCCCAGAATCGAATTGGTGTCTGTAGTAATGATTTTCTCTGCCGATAGCGGCATTTAAGACTATCAAACTGGGCCCTGCTCATAAACGAAATTTGTGTGTAATCGTACGCTAAGGCCAAAGTCAGAAGTGTCAACTTTGGATTAACGCGAATGAGGAACTGCCCGAATTGGATCACGAGAAGTCACGTGGGTTCACGTGGATGATTATTATGGCGATGGATTTCCGAGCTGTGCCTCTTAAATGGCTCTGTCGGGAAAAAACCTCCGGCTTTTCTCAAGTTTATGGCTTGTTTCTTAGCGAACAAATTGACAAAGGAATAGCAGTATAAAACTACAATAACGATATCATCACCAATGTCCATACCAGCCCCTACATAGCTCATCTTGCTCACAGGTATTTTGATCAAACGGTTAATGTGGCCTCTTCTTATCAGCTGTATTTTTCCAACTGCAGCCATGCGACCTCAGCTGTTTTATCGAACTAAACGCCCTACTCGTTCGGAAGCGCTACGACAATTCGTTGATCATCTATACTGACATCAAAAGCATCTTGTCTATACTTGTTGAAATGAAGAAGCTGCGCGGTGTCCAGTGTTTTCTAGACGCTGGGATCGTGTCGTTAACAACGACAAGATCTGCTTGACTCCACACCAAAGTATTAGCTTTTTATCTTTCCTGCTGTTCATTTTATTCGAATAAAACCGTGGACATGTTTGAATGAGTTGACCTAATAGATAGAAGAAAGCTGAACATACTGTCAGGGAGCGCAAACCTTCTGCTTTCCAAAACTGTTTTCATTTTTCAAGGCCCTGAAAAATTAGTGAGATATTGCTTTTTGAGTGGCAAAAACACGCATGAAAATTTTAAGCATCCTCGACGCTCCCTCTACGGATTTTGAGAGACTATATCTCTTCGAATGGAAGTCTCTCGAAAATTCAAATCAAAGCAAAAGCAAATCCAATACTGCCTGATAGTAGCAAATCCAGCTCGATCTAATCCTACCAGGTGCTCTTCAAAAGAATGGAAAATGGAGAATGAGAACTTTTCATCGAGGGTGTAGATTTCGATGGTTGCGAGCGGGGTTTGGCACCTGACCCACAGACATATCGCGCTGCAACTGAATGCTTTGCTGTACATTAATGGAAGGCAATTATTCACATCAAATCAAAGTTAGAGGGGTCGTGTTAAGACCGACGATGTGAGGGGGGGTCGTACTAAGGTGACCACGTCCTCCACACGAATTTCACCCTGCCCCGACCCCCTGAATTGGCTACATTCCCCGCGGGCCCACAAATTTCCTGTTGCCTCACTCGCCGCGCGCGGCATGCCTCCCCCCCCCACCCCGAGCCACATTGCTCCCGGTCGTGTGTATGAAATAAAACATCACCGCCATCATTCGTAACGCTTTTCTATTGCGAAGGCGCTATTGCGCTGGCCATCGATAAAGAGTGCTTAACGATCACTATTTTCGTGACGCCGTTGGTAAGCTTCACCCAAACGACCTCTATCACATCGTTATGAAACTGACTTGCGAAAAGGAATCCTTTGACGGTTCTTTTGGGTCTTGGCCCAGACACGCACTAGCTGGCGCCTCCCCTTTCGCACTTCCACGGTATCAACTTATCGTGAAAGCTGATTTTGAGTATGCGTGCCCTTTAGTCAATTCGACTCAGATGTGAGACATTACGGCAACTATACATTCTTTCCTTCCTTTAGAGGGCTCAGCTTCAGTAATACAAAACGCATGTGCTCCCCTGTCTAGGATCTGCTCCCACGCATTGGTGGACGGCAGCCTCACAAGCGCGCACTTTGGGTACCCCTCAGAAGGCCCGTCATGCAGCTAGAAGGCAGAGTCGTCGGACAAGTTGCAGCGCGTGTTGTGCGATGTAGGACGTGCAATGGAACACTTTAACTTGACGCGAAATCCCTATAATGCGCGCGCGACTCGTCCGCTGACTTGGCCTTTTTGCCACGCGACGGGCCTCCTGGGGGTACCCGCGCACTCTGAGTGGTTAAGGCGGGACAATCTCTGTACAAGCGGACCCAACACTTCCGCTCACGGCACGCTCTTTACAAAGCATTCCGGTAATTGCACTATTACAACCCCAGAAATGGAGAGATGTGTCAAAAAATTTTTTCGCTGAAACTCCTTCTATGGGGGTTATAACGGAAGTTCTGATCACGAAAATGAGATTCATTTTTGGCGTTGACGCCAAATTGGCGCCATTCGGCGCCAGGTGGCGCCAGGTGGCGCCCTGGTTGAATCTCACCGAATTCGCTGTAAACTTGTATACAGGTGTTATTTGGAGTCCTGATTACGAATATGGCATTCGTTTTAGTCGCTGTCGCCGCCTATTTGGTCGTCTGCGCCCTCTCACCAACTGGATCGTAATTGGGACTAAGCCTTTGGAGCGTTAAGTGCTTCAAAATTAGAGAGCCACTCTCCTGTGATCTCATCTACTTCATCTTTTGACACACAGTGCTTGCTTAACCCACCACGGCGCAATCACTTGCTTTCCCTTGTCTTAGCCGTGAGCGCCTCAGGTGGGAGGGCTCATGAGAGCAGAAATATGGTTCAACAGTGCGAACGACAAAACGAATGCCATATTCGTTATCGGGGGCTTTAATAAGCCTATTCACAGGTTCACAGGGGATTTAGTGACATTCAATCGGGGCTCCATTTGGCGTCAAATGGCGCCAGAAATGGATATCATACTCGTGCTCAGGATCTCGACAACATCCATAAGGGAAGTTTCAGCGAAAATTTTTTGACCCATCTTACATCTACTGGGGTTTTAATAGTGCAGTAGTGTCCAAATGTTCCTGACTACTTTCAGAATTATCGCTCTGAATGTTGGCTTATATTTCGTGTTTTATGGGCCATGCAAAATCTTTGGATCATTCGTGTGCTTTGTTGGGTGAGCGTTTTCAATCTATTAGCTCAGGCACCAGTGAATAAACTCATGACGTTATGATTATAGATCAAGTTTACTTGATGTTCTTTCAGGCATGCGTGGGTAATGCATTGTTACGGTCACACGCTGTTTAGTTTAGTGGTCTCGTTTGCATATCGTTATTACGTTTTGGTGCACGAAAAACCCAAGAGATTCACCATCATTTTCATTGTTATTACTGTATATTTGCCATCTTTTCTTGCATTTGTGAGTTTGGAAAGTCTTCAGAAAATTCTGATCTCTATTCTCTTCGTTCTATTCTATGTGGAAGCCGACGTCTCTCTTCGAATGTGGGACCCAAAAATTCATTTGGATTCGATGGTACGGGAAAATCAACATATGTGCAGTGGAACTTTTATGAATCTTCTTCAAAAAGAATGAGCTCATTGGAGGGGAAAAATTGTGGTAATCTTTTGTCATAATGGGTCACATTAGACCATGGTCAACTGTCCGTCAGGACTGTCCAGACGAAGAGCGTATTCTTTGCTTTTCGGTTTGGTCATGGATGTAATAAGTCGTTGTTTTTTTGTTAAGAAATCGGAACGGAAAATTTCCACAATTATTTCCTTCTCGCTTGACGGCTGTCTCGGAATAACATTGGTGGCGGAGATGTAGTGTGTAAAGTGGTGGCAGGGAATCGGCGGTAGTGGTGGAATACCGCATGAGGACAAATTTCAGGGCAGGTGTTCGCCTTCAATATTTGTCGGAGCGTGAGGGTTATCCGCTGGCGACCTCGCACCGCTATCGATAAATGACTGCGACGTGAACAAGTGGGATTTGGTGGCTAGAGTTTGTGTTGCACGCTAATCTACACTCTCTGCAACATTATCGAGCAGTGTATTAAAGACCGCCACCTACTTCTCATCTACTCTGTGAGGTCAGGAGGAAGGATGATATGATATATGATGGCATGATATGATATATGATATATGATGACATCATTGCGAATCGTTATAAGAAATTCACAGAATATATGATGTGCGCCGACCCCTCATATTCAATAATTTGTATCTCAACTCGTGTTGCTGTGTGAAGAGGGACGACTCGCACGTCGCTTTTCGGATGATCGTGGAAGTGCGGCAGGAATGTACTTTCCCTCTGATACTATTCATCATCTATCTGAAATTGGTCATGAGGAAAACGGGGAGAAAGTGAAGACAGTTGAGAGGCAATATCCGAATCCGTGAGTTTACCCTTCCGGTTGTCTGATCAGGAGACTCACGGATTTGGATCTTGCTGACGAAATCACTCATCCGAAGAATTAACTCCAACAGGCTACAACTCTCCTCACGAGGCGAATATGATTGGATTGCGCATCAGTGCCTAAATTTGGAGTGACGAGTGCCGGCCTTGCTCGAGCAAATTTTAACATCAATGTTAATGATATAATACTGGAGACCGTTGACAAATCCACTTACTCCTGGGGTACTATCGCGCTGAAATTGCGAAAGATGCCGTCGTATTCGAGCAAATCAGCAAGCTTGACCTGTTCTGCAGCACGGACGAATTTAAATCTGAGTCTGAGGAGGTTGACCCCCCTGTCACGAATTGTTAAACAGTTTTTCACAAGAATACTGGTTTGTGAACAAAACTTTCGCCCCAGGCGGGACTAGAACCCGCACCTCTCGCTTTCCGGGCAAGTGCGCTACCAGTTACGCTACCGGGGCATCATTTCATTCCAAGTCAGCTTTTCATGGTATACGTACCGTAGCTTTCAGCACTCACACGTCTAACGTGTTGAGCCGGTTAGCCGGTATCGGCAATGACCGCGAGGCTGAAAGCTTTGGCAATGAATTTTGACTTGTTTTGTTTGTTAACTGCTGTTTTAGCGCCGCAGTTCGCGTTGCGATTGTTTTACAAGAATACTGGGTTGTGAACAAATCTTTCGCCCCAGGCGGGACTAGAACCCGCACCTCTCGCTTTCCGAGTAAGTGCGCTACCAGTTACGCTTTAGACAATTCGTTTTTCATAGGAAGAGCGACAAACATTTGCATGCCAGACGTTATTTGTAATTGTGATTTAGTTCATGTTCGAATCAGCAATACTATACAAATTGAACCAGTGAGAGCTTGCTTACCAGAAGAGAAAGTCGAAGTCGTCAAAGTCGCTGTCGCCATTTGAAAGGAGATATTCAAGCCTAGATGTGCTTTCAAACGCTGCTCAAATCTGCTTCCCCAATCTGCTTAATAATTCTCCCAACGAAGTTATAAAGCAGAGGAAAGCTACGGTAGTAATCGCTCACGGCAAAACGTCGTGAGATCGGCCCCCTCAACGTGTTTACAGTACTGCGATCTCCAGGAATACGTCTGAGTAGGCTGGGGAGAGACCGTTTCAGCTGTTTTTATAAGAAAAGCGAGGCCAGAAAGGCCGACTTATTGCTGCTTGTTTCGTGACTTCGTTCAAAAAATCGTTTAGTAGATATGGAAGGTAGAATAGAAACAGTGTTAGAAGGCACATCTAAGCTCATGCATTCCTTCCTGAATGGACATTTCGACCATTCCTTAATACCAATAGTAGAGTCATAAATATGACCTCACGGAAGGACGCACTCTGGGATAAATCACATCAAACCGACTTCTTTCCTTAGTTGAAAATTGTGAGACCTGAGAAGCGATGTAATAACTGCCTTTTCAGATTTTATTCTGTTTTGGTACCGACAGCGAAGACCAGGTGAAGCTGGTTATTCATTCAAATATAGGCTACGATTTGAGCTCGGAATGTGTGAGGGGTCATGTGAATATTCTCAAATGGGAAACCCTAATCCCAGTGCTATATATTGTGTTACCTGTAGTTCCCATCTACACAGCTATTCTAATTCTTAAAAGCATGACTGTATCGAAACTGGTCGTTACAAGAGGCATGTCTCAGTATACTCGAACGCTTCACACACAACTGCTCAGAGTAGGTATTCCTATCTATAACAGGATAAAAATGATTTTACCATTCTTCTGAGAGTAAGTAAGAGATGTGCGCTCTAAATCTACGGTAATTCGCCGGAGAGGTTCTTCAGTGAATGCAGCAAGGGCAGAAGAGGGTAATGGCAAGTGGCGCCGGCGCACAGCTCGGAGATTGCATTTGAAGAGATGCGAAATGCGTTGTATATTTCCATATTGGTATTGATCTCCACAGAATGCCCCCTAATCATGTAACCGAATTTCTGCGGGTGAATCTTGAAAAAAAGATTTGGGGACCAAAAGCCAATCACATTCATCCAGAAGGACGCGTTCTGCTTTTATAAGCTCCGAGGCGGAGTCGAGATGAAAGTATCTTTAATAATTCTTATCCATGAAGGAGAGGTGGTTAGTAATGCACGGATAAAGAAAACTCCAAAGAAAAGCAGGGTAGAACCCGGAAAACGAGAACTTTTCTTTGCTCGTTGATTTTGGCATCTCAGCAGTGCTTGCATTAACGCGCTGATAAGCGGCAAGAGTCAGACGGCAAAGGGTTACCCATCGGTTGGCGTGCAGCCGCGCGAGCATCACCGGACCGCTGAGACACACCCTCCGCCGCAAATGTGCTTCTTCCCGCTTGCCTTCCGATCAGAAACAGTAGTGGTCAAACAATTATAAACAAACGGTTTTTTTATGATTTTTTTCTAGAAGTCATTGCAACGTCTCCAAATTTGCAACACTATTAACTACGTGTTTTATGATCCACACAGAAATTTCAGCCTTTGACTCAAATTTGGGTTTAGAAAATTTTAGATTTTCCGAAATCAATGAAGGCATGTGAAAGGTCACTTGATCCCTTTATTTGATTCAAATAATGTGAACCCCACAGAGCAGTCAAGTAAACAGTCACTAACATTAAGCAAGTCTAGCACATTGCTCAGAATTCCAAAGTATTGGATGCATAAACTGGATTTGAATGCGGATCAACTAATGAACTCACTCTCTAGTGGGGTCTCTCTCTGTAGTCCCGCCTTTTCGTGGCTATTTCACTGAGATACGAATCTGTAGGTCTTCCCTAGTGGTTCTGTAATATTTGGCTTAGGAGCCTGGCCTGGCTGGTCTTCTAAAAGCACCCATGCTGTCAAAACCACACCTGCATGTGAGAGGCTCGATGCTCTGAGTCGCTGCTCTGCTGACAGACAAAGCCAGGTCGTGTGGCAGCCATTCTACGGATACACAACATCTTCTAGAATCTAAGTCTATTCTACGTATTCCTCAGTTCTCGAAGTCTATGAAGAGCGCTCGCTGTGAAATGGGTGGGAGTAGAATGTGATTGACTAAGTCTGAAAAGAAGGTTGACACAGGTTTTTAAGGTCATCTGGAATGACAAAAACATATTACTGATGAATGATAGCAAGGATACTGGTAATGTACGGCACCGAGAGAGCGGACGTTTTGATCCAAGGAGACAGCTGCCAATTGTGGAACTTGGCGAAGGCTTGATAAGGTTGCCTTGGAAAAAAGTGGGACCATGCTACACGACTGAGGTAGCGATGAAGGCAAACGTTTGCTGTCATGTTTTGGGACTTGTCATGTATCCTTAGGCGTGGCTGCCGCCCGACCTGACTCTGCCTGTCGGCAGAGCAGCGACTCAAAGCATCAGGCCTCTCACATGCAGGAGTGGTTTCGACACGGGGTGCTTTTTTTACGGCATACGGCATGGGGTGCTTTTAAAAGATCAGCCAGGCCAGACTCTCGAGCCAAACATCACAGAACCACTAGGAGACCACCTACAAATTCGTATGTCAATGAAAGAGCCACCAAAAGACGGGACTACAGAGAAAGAGACTCCACTAGAGAGTGAGTTCATTAGTTGACCCGCATTCAAATCCGGTTTATGTATCCAATACTTCAGAGTTCTGAGCAATGTGCTAGACTTGCTTAATATTAGTGACTGTTTACTTGACTGTTCTGTTGAGTTTACATTATTTAAATAAACGAATCAACTAATCTTTCACCTGCCTTCATTGATTTCGAAAAATCTAAAATTTTCTAAATCCAAATTTGAGCTGAAGGTTGAAATTCTCTGTGTAGATCATAAAGGACGTAGTTAATAATTGTTGCAAATTTGGAGACTATAGAGTGACTTTTAAAAGAGGAGTCATGAAGAAACCCTTTGTTCATAAGTTTCTGGCCACTACTGTATATTTCCTCTTTCCCAACCACTGACCCATCGTGGAGTTCCCTTTTGACTGTCGTTAAGACGAAGTTATCCCACTAGAAGTGAGAATCAAGGATTCTTCACAAAGGTTCTATAACGGAAGGCTCTTACGTGCTGATTAGTTATCTTTCTTCCAATCCAGAATGATGGAAATATTTGAATTCATCAAACTGCCTGTTTGTGAAATTCACTTGGGCAACATTACTCAAAATTCCACTTCAAGGCACTCATCGTGCAAGCCTGCCTACCTGTTTGCTTTCTTCTCGCGGTTGTAACGTATGGGATAAGTCAGCTCAACATATATCACCATCCATCTCTCGAACACTCGATCTCTTTTATGTTCGGAGCTCTTCCGATACTGAGCCCTCTGACGTCGCTGTATTTCATTCGACCTTACCGTATATGGATACGAAGGAAATTGTGGAGGAATTTCTGCGCTTCATCGACGAGCAGTAATCTAACTACGATTTATCATTGGAGTGTTTTGAGATCAATACAACAGTGATTGTTTTTATTTTTGTTCATTACTGGAAAGTTGTTGTTCTAGCGATTTCTCGTTTTCATCAACCGTAGTTTTATCGCAATTATATGGGTTTCGGGAGTTCTTGTTAGTATACAAGATTAATGGCTGGAAGATAACAATAACGATATTTTTATGTTGTTCAAATATGAAAACAGAGCCGCTGAACGGGTGGCGTGAAGTAATCGTCGGAAACCGGGGATTCTGCCCAATGAGTTTGAATCAGGCAATTTTACGGCTCAGATAGTGACACCATGATCGAAAGCGCCTCCTTAGAATAATGAATAAAAAAGGCAATTAAAAGAGGAGATCAGACACAGATATTTGGATGAAAAATACACTTGAGGAATAACAACGATGATTATAGTGGTCGCAAAGTCATTAAACTCGAAAGTGGAGCGATTTTGCGGAAGAACAAGTCGCTCTTCCATTTGTTACGCAAAGCAAGGAAGCTTACTCCGTAGAACTCTTCCAGGTACGACTCGAAGAAGCTGGGTACTCAAATTTTGACGTCGACGCGGTAACTGGATCTATTTACCGCTGAGGAGTGCTGCATTGACCTGGCTTACTGATCATCGGACCGCGCCAGGTCTGAGCTGTACGGCGCGACAGGCAGGCTGGCCAACCCAACTCTTCGATTTCTTGTGGCGAGATTTTCGCGACATGTGGTCTTGCATTATCGTACCATAATATTTCATTGGCTGAATTCACCCTTTGGCGATGCGAAGGCGGTCCGAAGCGGCGGGATTTTATGCGTAGGGTTCAGCTGTAACTGTATGACCCACAATCAGCTCTCCATAGTGAGCCAGTCTTATACTGCTTCACCACACAGTAGACTTCTCTAAAGGCTGTCTGGTTTCGAAAAGGTCTTCAGTCGCCTATCTTTAGCCAACCGCGGCCGCCTTCTCACTTTTTTTATCGGTGAACATCCTTCGTGAAATGTGCTTTCAGCGAAGTTAGGAACTTTCTTCCTTAAGGAGTTATGGAAGAGAGCCAGCATTGGCAACCACCACTGCTTGCTCGCGTTGCTCAGAATAGGCCGCACCCATTTTCTATCCTGAAAGGCCTTACCATCGCACGTCGAACTTTTTAGAATTTTCTGTTGACGATTGGATCTACATGCAAGCTTTGTGCGGTTTGTCGACGACTCTCGCTTTTTTTCTCCCTTATTTAGAGGTCATATCCATGCAATCCGCCCTCAAGTCCTTGTCCTCAGTTTCGGAAAAGCCGAAACCATAGCTGGAAGTGCATCCGGGCCAGTATGTTGCTGCTTATTGTTTTGCACATAATGAGTGTGATACGTTGGCCGTTTCTTTTTTCAAATCAAAAACAATAGAGTACACTCATTTTTACACGGCTTGCGCTCCTTCTTCTCGAATTTTGCATTCATTCAGAGATAATACATTAGCACAACTATTATGGCAGGCCAGAGTGGTCAAATATCCCTTGATTCAGCAGAGATTTTCTGAACGCACAAAAACTTCATCTCAATTCTTTCCTAGTATTCCTTCCACTAGCGTAAATATTCACATAAAGATTGTAGAAGCAGCTAATACAAAACTCTGTGAAATTCAAGATATTTACCTTTGATGGAAGAACTTAGGTGTAAATGCTTTTACTCCATTCGCAGAGAAAATGATGTTTTTTGCTTCTCCATGGTCGTTATGCGTTCTTCTGAACAAAAATCCATTGCCATTTATATAGTTAACCTTTATGCTTCCTTTGCCGAAATAATTCTATGAGATTTAAGTTGTTGTGCACTTAAAAAAATAAACGGAAGTAAGGTGAGGACAGCGCGCTCGCAAAATCCCTCCTGTCCCACGCGGTGCAACATGCCAAAACACGCAATGTCGTCAACGCGTTAATATTCCAACAGGCCTCTAATCGGCGACATTTTAACTTGATGTCTGCCTTCTTCGAAGCTTTTTATTATATTTGCACGATACACTGCATGCTGAGGCAGTGTATTTATGCTGAAAATGTTGAAGGAAAACAGAAAAACCATAAGAATAAGAATAGAGTAAGAAATAGCAGGCGAAAAACCAATATCTCTCCACTTAAAGGTGAACTCCGGGATAAAAGGAGGGACTCACCTGTCCGAGTGTGAAGAGCTGGATGCTAAGTTGATCGGAGGTAATGGAAAAAAAGCAGGAAATACCTCCAAAGAACTACAAAATTAGAAATTCCTCTAGTCGCCTACAAACCAGGTCTGGGAAAATAACCCTTTTGGACATGCCTACAGCAATTGTTGGCTTTGTGCCATCAGCCGACACAACCACAATAAGTCAGCAATGAAAACTGATTGTTCCTAGTTTCCCTATTTTTTCTATTTTCCAGTGCTTTTTTTGATTTGCTTCCTATCTTGAAATCTTTTCTTCTCACTAAAATGATGACAACGATCTCCAAAATGGTCGTAAGGTGGGCTTTGATGTTGATTTTTGCAATTGAAATCCGCTAAATACTCCCCTACGACTTTCCAAACGACTAGCCTTCCAGGTGGTTGCTTGGAAGATCACCTAGGACAGTGGGCGGGCTCAATGGGCTTGGGGCGGCGCCAATGCTCCAACCTATGCCCTAGCGCCTAACTCTTATCAAAACGCCCCGCCACTTCTGCACATGGCTTGCCTTTGCGTAGTGCTCCATATTTGACGGGGAACACCTAAGTTTCGTCAGAAATCTCGGAATTCGCCTTTGATCCGGCTTCACTTATCAAAATTGACTCAGTATCTGAGATCTTTTGTTGATATAAACAATGTGTTTTACTTTCCTTAATTGTGGGTGAACTCACACTTCTGTCACACACACCGAACAGACGCCTGTTGGAATACGAAGTTTCAAAAAGAATTGGTACTGTCACAGCTGATGGAATCGTTTTATTACCTTAGGATGCAGCGATTGGATTCCAAAGAAAAGAATGACGCAAGCGGTTTCGTTCCTCCTGCTCAGTCCTCAAAGAAATTGTTGATTTCAACTTCAGTTCGGTCCAAATTTCGCACAGTTTGACTGCTTAAGAAACCTTCCACGATTTTTGTGATTTGCCTTCGTTCAAACTCTGATGACGCTTTTCATTTTGCTTTGGCAGAAGTGTTAATAATAATGAAAAACTGATTCAATCAAACGGAAAGAAAAGCAACAAGGGAACAGGGAGTGTATGTACTATAATTTTGCGAAATTGTCCAGAACGGCTTTCCAGAAAAGTGCAGAAAATCCATCGATATTTTAAGTCTGACCATAAGGTAAAACTTTGAGCTGGTGTGAGGTTGCGCTTGTACCCAAAACGTATCCCATGTAGAGACTCCTTTGAAGAATTCCTGGTAGGAGAGTTTTGTAAAATTTATAAGTGGATTTATAATTATGCGGAACAGTGTGTCGATCTTGAACTAGCGCAATTTTAGCCGCAAGCGGCGCATCAAGGATGCACACTGCCCTTCAGTCCGGCTCCCGATAGAATGAATGTCTTGCTTCTTTTCGTTTTATTCTCAGCGTTTGTCCGCTGTTGGTTTAGCTGCCGCTCGGTTGGTCTCTCGCTTTTCTTGATACTTTTGCTGACCGCCTACGTTGTTCCCGATTAAATGCTGTGGTCGGGGTGTAATGTTTTAACGACTTCGAAGTCTTGTGTGGCAAACGGTATCGTAGCCAGTCCGCTGTTTCGGGCGTCCCTTTGGCGTCTTATCTTCGGGGGAGACGTCTAGATAGAGCTTGACGCTTTGATTCTTACGTAGGACACTGTCGATGTTTTGCCGGTAGAGACATATGACGCCTTACCAGTCTGGAGTACGTTTTTGCTGGGCCTATCTTAGTCGGCAATTTGGGCCGACACCTGAATCGTTCTCGAGAATGCCACTTCGTTAGTGCGATGCTCTTCTACGCTTCGCTCGAGTGGACTTCCAGCCTGGTCAAACGCAGGATCTTTGCTCCATTCACACTGAGACGGGCTTCGACTCTTCTGTGTAGATCGCAGGCAGCATTCGGCAGGCGTTAAATCGCGACTGCCGGAAGAGACACGCGTTCTATAGATCTTTTATATATTGAAAGCGGCTGCTTCTGGTCTATTCACAGTTGGCTTTATTCGCACAGAACGCCTCGAGTCATTGTGCGCGCCCCATTTTTTCGGACCACGCTGCCACCTTTGTCACGGCGAAGGAGGATTCGCCTCCCAGAAGCCAGACTGCCATCAGCCGGAATTATGCTGATCCATTTAGACTACTTGAAATGTTGTGTACGTGTGAGCTGCAGTACCATTGATCTTAATATTAGGCCTGGCTCACACGATCTCCGATTGTCCTGGCGTCAAGTACTCGTGTCTATTTTGCGTTTCAACTGAGGCTGAACACGATAGTCCATCGGCGGTCTGCGACGCAGAGGTTTTGCACTATGTTGTGCCTGTAGAGTTATGTTTTAATATATCGCTGCGCGAGCATTACGATTCTGAGTCAGCACTAAAGAGCGTTTCCATGGTAACCGGCTTCTGAATATATCTCTCGATCAATGTGCATCATGACGTGACAACAATAGGCAGTGGGGACAGTGTCAGAGCGTCGTTTGGTCGCTAGCGCCCGACAAGAGATGGGAAAATCCATCGAAGTGCCTGGCTTTGCCGTTGCCACCCGGTTCTTCTGGACTCGCAATAGAGAGATGCGCACCCACTCAATAGCATCTCGGAAACCGCCATGATTGCCGTAAGGCATACCATCTAACTCACGGCACGCGATCGAAAGCCTTCTCCAAGTCGAGGAAAGCCAAATGCAACGGTCTTTGTTTTTCGCGATGTTTCTCTAGCAGACGGCGAGCGGCGTGGATGGCATCGATGGTGCTGCAGCCAGCCACGAAACCACACTGGTTGGTGGTCAGATCAACGATGTCCCTGATTCGACTGTCTACAATTCGCTCAAAGATTTTCATGCTGTGCGAGAGCAGGCGAATTGGACGGTAG